GTCTATATGTAGTGGTAAGAGCTCTCCTTGAGTAAGAAACTTCAATAGTAATCTCCTTCCTTTGATTTTCCTCTTCCCACCCTTCTTAAAAGCTGCACACTTCCCTTGGGGTTTGAGGTCCAGAATCTCCTTGCTAATTGCTGTGCCTAAAAACTCAACAAAATATGCTTACTTTCCAAAACTCAAGCTAAAATTATTAATTTTATAATTTTAATATCTAATACAGAAAATAACTTTTTCCCCATTGAAATATAGTTGTATGTTTGGGCTAAGTCATAAAGCCTTTTAGATAAAGCCTTTTAGCACTGTAAGATAGGTGCTATCTTATGTAGACTTCTTGAAAGGCCCTTTTAGAGCCATGTACTGGAGAAGATATTTTTGAAAAGCATTTTGTCAGCACTAAATGTATATAGAGGGCTCTAAGTGTTGACAAAGGAATCAACTGACATGGTCTTGGAATTGCTTTCTTTGGAGCCAAAAACAGGACAGGCACAAGTACTAGAGCAGTTGATGACTACAGTGACTAGATCTTATAGCTAACTGATCTCAGAAGGTTTCATGAAAGAAGTGAGAACGGTACTTTAAACATCTTTATCTGGCAGAAAGAAAAGTCTATTCAGATTGGTAAGATGTTATCTCTGAAGACATAAAAGTAGGGTTAGGACAGGTATATGCAAAAGGGGAAGTAAGAGGGTTTATTGAAAAGATAATTCACTCATGTATTCAGTAAATATTATTTAGTACCTCTTTGTGCTGTGCCCCTGGCTACTTGCTGTGGCACTGAGCTAGATTTGGGGGATTTATCCCAATCCAGGATATACTAAGGTATAAAGTCAGTTAGATAAAGCCTAAATCCTATTATTAGGGATTTGGCATTGATCCCAGGGAAATTAGGATCATGAATTTTTGAGTGAAGGAAGGAAGAGGTCATGAAAAGGCAAATGGAGTAAGATTGTCTTTACCATTGTACCTATGGGAAATAGAAGGAGAGATTGGGGCAGGGCTGCTAGGTTGGAAACTTCTACCACAGTCGAGGGAAGAGCAGAGAACTGGTTATGTACTCTCTTAGGAGCTGTGGCAGACGCCAAGAGGACAAGACAGCCCACTTCCTCCCGGGAGCCAGGAGGAGACCCTGAAAGACGCTGGTGATGCAGGCACCACCTGGCTCATACCCACACAGAGAGCTGACCTGGAGCAGCCACTTTGGAGGGGCGTGGGGGAAGATTTAGGAACTCTGGAGAGACAGAGACAGGCCTGGGGTGGGGGGTGGGCACAGGTGCATTTCAGAGAATAAGCCAATTAGCAAGTTGTTTAAATACCAGCTTTTGTTTTTATGGTAGCAGATAAAGTGCTGATAAATTTTACACCGGAAGCCAAGCTTAGTCAACATGCTCGAAAACTAAAAACTATCCAATCCCATGGTCAGGGTACGAAAGTTCCTTGGAGGCCCCAGCCTGATCCCAGCCCTCTGCCCTGGTAGCCTCTGCACCCGCTTCCAGCGCCCGCAGGCCAGCCGGGTGCAGCGTGGCCCTCCCCGGTGGCTTCCTGCCACCGCTCGTGTCTCCTGCGCAGGTGCCACTGGGCCGCACTCTCCTCTCCTCCACCTCCGCGGTGGCCAGAGTGCGGCTTACTGCATTGCCTGTGCCTGGGGCCTGTGTCCCACCAGAGAGGTATGTTTTAATGTCAGTGAGGGTGACAATCGCAAGCACAGGTTTGAATGTGCCCATTTTTTCCAGTAAATAATACACGAACATCGACATTCCTGTAAGAAACCTTGAGATGCATCACAGAATGGAATGGCTGACGGCCCCCAACCCCGTGCTGGCCTGCGCCCCAGATCCCCTTCCTCCTGGCACCCTGCTGGCCTGCACAATGTGCCTGCCTCCCCGACCACCTCGGTCCCCCCTCTCGCCCCCGCCCCGCCCCGCACCACATTCCGCCCTCTCCCCATGTGCCAGGCTGCTAGGCCCTGTGTATCTTGGACCTGTTGACTCATGGACTTCCTGATGGCCTTGTCCCGGTCATCGGCATACTCTGGTCCTTGTATGTTCCCAGCTTGTGGAGAGTCAGTGGAGGCGCCCTCCGTGGCGTGCCCGGCCGCCAGTGTGTCAGACCTGCAGGCTGGTTGGGAGGCTCCCCAGGGCAGGTGCTGTTTCTCAGTCACCACTGTATTTCCTGCATGGAGCAGAATTCCTGGCATGTGAGAGCATGAGAGGCAAATAGTAAGGATTTGTGGGATGGAAAGTAGGTGTTTTCTTAGGTTCATTTTAGAATTTTCTCAACAAGATTTGAATGTGCAGGTTTGTACTTCATGAATAATTATTGGAGCCAATTTTAGCGGAAAGAGACCGGTTTGGTCCCAAAATCCTCTTTCAGTGGAGGTGACAGCCACTCTGGCCATGCACCTCTGGAGGCAGACTCTCAGTCTCCTCCCTGAGCTAAGGGGAAGTAACTGAGGGCGTGTGGCGAAGCACTTTATCAGGGATGGCAGGAGTGTGAGCATTCATTACTGATTTTTTAAAGGGAAAAAGTCGTGTGTGCATTGCACTTTTCTTGTCCCTTTTAGTCTATACAAAACTCAGGGAGGAGGAAGCTCAGCGCCCACCTGGTCCTACAGAGGAGGACCTGAGACAGAGGTGGGGTGACGGGGTGGGGTGCTGGGGCATTCAGGCTCCCACAGAGCCCATCATTTTCTCACCAGCTGGGTGAGACCCCTGAGCGCACGAATGTCTGTAGAGAGAATCCTTAGAAAGTGTTCAGCGCGGCTCTACTGGGCTGGTCTATTTGTTGGAGAATCCTTTCAGATGCTCCTTTAATAGTCTATATGTAGTGGTAAGAGCTCTCCTTGAGTAAGAAACTTCAATAGTAATCTCCTTCCTTTGATTTTCCTCTT